TTTTTTATGGATAAGATAGTAATCTGCTAGAATTATGCCTCCAATTGGACCCAACAGAGCAGAGTATCCAACTAGCCATGTGTACACAAAGCTCTCACTTGACTTGAGAAGCCTCCATGGCTGAAATGCAATTCCAAGCAAAGCTGTGAGAATAGCTCCTCTTCTGAAGGTGAACTTTGAAGGGCTGAGATTCACAAGAGCGTTTGCAGGGGCCACAACATTGGCTGCAATGTTGGTTGTGAGGGTGGCAAGGCTAACACCAAAAATGGCTAGGATGATCGTTGTGAACCCTCCAATTTGCCCGAGAAGTTGAATCGGATTCGAAATGACACGCCCGAAAATCACTTCTGTCGAGCAGGTTACAGCTAGGCCAACAAATGTGAATGCCCCCATGAAGATTGGTAGCCCGGCTTGACCGATGATTTGGTCAGTCTGGCTCTTGGCATATCTGGTGAAATCTGGTATGTTAAGAGCAAGAGTAGCCCAAAAGCTTATATTAGCAGTTAAGGAAGGGAAAAAGAGGGACCAAAATTGCTTGGAGGTGAGCCTAGAGGACAAGGAAAGCATGTGGCTGAATCCACCAGCTTTGACATAAGCCCAAATGAGAAGGCAGGAAGTGAGTGCGATGAGAACTGGAGCTGAGTATTTCTCAAGTTCCCTAATTCCATCCATTCCTTTCCAAACAATGGCCAATTGGGCAAGCCAAAACACAATAAAACAACCAAATTCCAATGGTGATGTGCCAAGCCAAGGTAAGACCTGAGACAAAGAGGACTGTTTGATTGAATTTGGTAGCAAAATGAAAATGGCTTCACCACCAATCCAAGTCTCAATTCCATACCAACCACAACCAACCAAGGCTCTAAGAAGAGTGGGAATGTGAGCACCATAAATACCAAATGAGGAACGGGCTAAAACTGGGAAAGAGATGCCATATTTTGTCCCTGGATGACCAGTGAGGACCAATGGGACTAATAGTATTATGTTGGCTGCTACAACTGTTGCAATTCCTTGCCACCAAGCCATGCCAAGGTCAACAAGACTACCAGCTAAATAGTAAGTTGGCACCCCCACAACTAGTCCTACCCAAAGACTAGCCAATTCCCACCTGGAAAAAGTCCTTTGATCAAGTGTTGTGGGCTTGAGATCGTCGTTTGTAAGTGT